TCCCTAAAGTTTGGGAGTAAGAGTGGTAGTTGCTACTGAAATAAAACTAGCTAACTCTGGACACATGCAGGCAACTTGTAATGTTTCTTCCCACCTCTAATCGTAATCCCAGGGTCACCAGAAGAGAAAGTCGTTTACTCTTTTAATATGTGCCCTCCACTTTTGTCTCCTGGGTCTAGGTGTCAACATTGCGTACTTGAACACTGGCATCGGAGGACACAAAGCCCCCAGTTTGGCAGACCGACAGCGTGAATACCTTTTAGACATGATCCCTCCCCGGTCTATATCGCAGTCCATCAGTGGACAGAAATAACGCCTGTTCCACTTGTACTGCCCCAACCTTGAATCCTTTACCCCTTTCCTCTCCAGTCTCCCCCAACTTCCGTCGCATGCAGTGCCTGTACTGGTGCCTACCATACACGGAAAGCAAAACAGAAAAACAGAAGACAAAAAGTAGAAATCAACAAGAAAACACACGCCCTGCCCTGCCACCTCCCCTTTATTTCACACTGCTGCGATCTGTTCTTCTGCCGCTCTTTTACCTTCAATGTTCTTTAACAGTGTGGTGGATCTTTGCCTCTGATAGAGGTCAGAATGAGGTCCTGGGGAGAATCTAAGCCCTCTAACGTGTGTTTCTAAAGTTCGTTTTATACTGTAATTATCATCATTTTAATGATGTTGTGTGTCCTCCCTCTGTTCAGTGGACGGTTAACCCCTTTCTCCCCTGAATCTTTTCCTTTTCCTTTCTTTTCTTTCTTTTCCTTTTTTTTTTTGTAAACACATGTGACATTCAGTTCAATGATAGGAGCTTTACAGATTGCAGTAGCGTCCCCAACTGCCAAATAGGACATGACGGGGGTTGTTAGGGGCAGAAGTTTTGAATGCACTTAACCCAGGGGTAGGGGTGGCATCAAATGAGGAGGACTACCCCAGCTGTGGGTATTTTAGGCTGAACAGTTTGGGAGGCAGTGTTAGTACTGAAATTGGGCTCTTAAGAGTGAGGGGAAAGAGCCTGGAGGGAGAAGCTTTAAAACGCAACCACCCTGGAATTTGCCCTTAGAGGGGGAGAAAAGGGTATGATGATGAACACAAATGGTGGGCCACTGGCCTTGGCCTTCTGGATGCTGGGAATAAGATTGGTCTCCTGACCCCCATGGAGATACAGAAGTCTATCCAGGCCCCAAATAATTTCATCTTATTTTCTTTGCATAATTCTCCCCCACATCTTATTTTAAAATCCCTGTTCTGTCCCTTCTCACCACAGCCCTGGCTATAGTACAGAGGCACAGCTGCCTCTGGGCTGAGTTTGCTGAGCATCCTAGAACTTGCAATGGGCATGAGTGAGTCAGTGACAAAAGAAGAAAATAGAAGAAGTAAGCAGGAATTACTCCTAACAGTTGAGATTCTCATATCTGCCTGTCCCTTCCCCCCATGAGTGCCAGGAGATAAGGGTGAGGGCATCCCATCAGGTCGGAGTCCTGTTGTACTGCGCTTCACTAACTGCAGAACCAGCTGCTCAGTGCCAGACAGCTTATGTGAAGACCAGCTTTGGACCTCCACTATACAAGTAGTTCCCCCACCCCATCCCCACTCCCACCCCCCAGAATTCTATTAATTTTACTTTTTTGTTGTTTGTTGTTTTTACTTTTTTTTTTCTTAAGCGCTACTAATGTAGAGAATGATTTGAATTGTGCAATGTTGCTGTTCTGGGGAGTGAGGAGATTAGCATCCCATTTGCCCACGCTGTGGGGAAGAGGAAGGGGACCAGGTAGTTTTGAGGTAAGGGAAGCCCCTTAAAGGTCAAGGCATCTGCTCTCCTCTTCATGTACACCCACTTGCCTCTGCAGCTCCAGTAGCTGCTGGAGTGCATTGGGAAGATGCTCTCAGCAGACAAGTGTGAGGAGTTCAATATTTTTGCCCTTAAAAGCCACCTGAGGAAATCCCCCCACTTTTATTTTTAAAACTTAAATAATTTTTTTAAAGTAAGAAGGCACTTTTTAAATTAACACACACATAAACTGCACATCTTCCCCATAAAATTGGGAGGTGAGTGGGGGAAGGAGCTGAAATCAGGCTCAGGTCCCTCACTCTGGCCTCTACTCCCCACACCCCAGTGCCACTGTGGGTGATTATACTGGCCCTACGGGCCTTCTTGGCTTTTTTTCTTTCCTCCCTTTCCCCAAATTCATTGAGCACTTAATAAAGGAGCAGAGATGCAGCCAGTGTCTGGGCCCCCCAGCGGTGAAATGATCTGGAAGCTAGATGCTAGTAACAGGTAGTGATCGGGTCGTTTCGAGTATTTTTCTGGGGAATATGGTACCCCTGACTGTAAGTGGTGGGAGAGGGAGGGGGGTTAATGGAACTGGGTCTGGGATTATTTTAAAATTATATATATATATATAAAGATATATTCTTACATCTTTTCTTTGCCCTCTGTGCTTTGAAAGCACTGGATAAATTGTTTGGTTTTGCTTTTCTCTCTTCCACAAAATTGGAAGCTTTTTTTTTTAATGTTTTCTCTACAAGTCATCTTGCCTTGTGGCATGTCTGTCTTGCATCCCCCTCTCCCATGATGAAGTGCCATTTCTGTTATGTCTCCCTCTCTCCCAGCTCAGAGGTGCTCAGAGGTACGAGGTGCCCAAGTTTGTCAGTTGAGATTAAAAGTAAGGAGCAGAGAATGTGCAATACCGTCTGGCTGGGGGCTGTCCCTGCCCTGAGCTGAGTCCCTTCCCTGGGAGCCAGGCCACTTTGAATGGGGTTTGGAAGTGAGATGTGTAGAGATGGGGAATGGCGGGGAAGAAAGCCCATAGTCGAGTGCCTGCTTAGGTGCTGAATCCGTAGGGGAGCAGGGAGCTTCCCTGTTTTATCCCCTCAGGGTCAATCACATAGAAGCTGCTGTGGCTAGTATAGCTCTGTGACCCTTTTCAATCGCTGAGGTTTGATTTCTTATCCTCTCTCCTCCCCATTTTCATACCCTTCCCAGGGACTGGTGATGGGGGTGAGGGGCCTCCCTAATCATGGTAAAGTATTAACCTTCTACTTCCTCCTTTCCCATCTCTTCCCCATCTGTCTTCTTCAGTTCTCTCTCTCTCTCTCTTTTTTTTAATCACTGATTGCCTTGTGTCCCTCCAAGTCTTCTTTACTACCCATCCCCAGGTTTTGGGCCCTGTGGACACTAACCTCATGCTCTGAGGATAAGAGGAAAGACCCTCTGTTGGGATAGTTATCCTTACCCTGGGAGCTCTGAAAGCCAGGGTAAGAATAGAGAGGTTCCCAAGAGTTCTACCTGCCTTCCTCCATCCCAGAGGCACCACAACTTGTGGTTTGTGGACAGGGTCTTCTTCCCTGAGAGGGTGGACTAGTAATAGGCTTGGGTGAAACGGGGAGACAGGGGTCCTTATTTGTCAGTTTTGTCATTTGACCACAGCATCTGGACTCCTTCCATCCCTAGAATAAGTATTTTTCCCACATTTTTGGATACATGTATGGTAGACAATTTTTTTTTAAGACTGAGATAAATGTTTTCCTGCTTTGGTTACCTTTCCTTTCCCCTTTAAAAAGGAATTAGCTATAGAACTGCTTTGTAAAGATGCTTCTTGATATTTTACTTTTGTTCCTTTTCCCCAGCCATTCCCTTTTCTCCACATTTCTCCAGAAGGCATAACCCTTCTCTCCAAACCCCCTACCCTCACCCCAGTCCTAGGCTCCCTTCCCTTCCATCAAGACCTTCATTAGCTTATGATATTTGCTGCCGAGATGTTATAACAAGGACTCATTCGTGTATATAAGCTATTTCTTGATCCATTTAAAAGGAATTGTACATTGTGTAGAAAAAAAAAAAAACCTGAAAAAGAGAAAAAAATGCCCTAGCCATGGATATTGTGAAACTGTGTTATGTCATTTCGTAATGTGCCCGTTTGTGTATGATCCGTGCAAAAGGGTTTCTGGGGAAGGGGAGGGGGTAGGGAGGCAGGGCTGTGGAGGGGCGGGTAGGGGAGTGGGCCGGGCCCAGCACACTGAGACTGGCAGCTGCTCCAACCCCATCCCTCCTTTAGAGATGCCACCTCCCCCACCACCCACCCCTAATTTGTGCCTTGCCTCCCCACCCTGGAGTTGTCCCTCCGGGTCACCAGCACTGCCTTGGCAGAGCCCACTCCCTACCCTAACCTGCCCACCCTCCCTACCCCCCAGCATTAGGTTGATACTATGGGGAAGTGCTGGGGGTTGGGAGTTAGCCGAGGAATGGGGCAGTTCCCGGGGGCATCGAAACCAAGTATTATTATGAATTGTAATTGTATTTGCACTGTTTTTTTTTCCTCTGATTGCATCAGCATATATACAATATACCTATATAACAAAATTCAGTGTCAAGCTTTCTTATGCAAGGGATTTCCCCCATCACACCTCCCCCCCAAAAAAGAAGAAAAAACCCTAGTCTCATGGGCCTGCAAAGGCTGATTGTCGGGGTGTTAGGAAGGATTTAATAAGTCGTCCTAGGGAGGTCTCACCTAATGAGAGCCACGTCCTTCTGCATAGTTTTAGGCTGCATGATTTGAGATGAGGCTGGGCTCCAGGGCTAGGACTGGAGAATAAGAAGCACCAACACGAAGGGGGTGGTGGCTCTGGCTGGAGACCTGGGCTCTCCTGCTAACCTGCCATGTGACTTTTGTGGAGATAATTTTCTGGGTCTCAGTTTTCTTAACAGTGAAGTGAGAGGAAAATCATCTGGCCACTAAGTCTAATAAAATTTTGTGCTTCCTTCCCCACCTTCTAAAAATAAAAAAAAAAAAAACTGGAGGTGAGGAAAGCGTCGGGCTGAAAATCAGGGAGGAAATGTAAGTGTTGAAGTGGTGATCTATGTAACCGTGTCCTTGGAGAGCTGCCAGTCCCCGCTGCTACCCCTGAGGGCAGCCGAGTGAGGTCTGGAACATGAGTTAGACCGGGATCCCTTGCCCTGGCCCCTAGCCGCCTCACTACCAAACAGGTCCCGTGGGACGTTTGACCAAGGAATGCCTCTTCCCTTTGTCAGCTGCAGATGTGGGACATCTCCGGTCTTGGTGACAAAATAGAGTTCAGCTATAACCTGCTTCTTTCTCCACCCCTCAAATCTCATCTGAACCCCTTAAAGGCAACTTTTTCACAGTCTGTCTCCTTTGGGGGTCCAGTTTCCACCCCCCTCCCCAGCCTGGGCTGAGTGCTCCCACTCTCTTCAGAGTCTTGGCTGGTTAGCCCTGGAGAGGACACCGGAGGATGGGTGAGGCCCTGGGAAAGATGGAAGGGTAGATTGGGGTTGGGGGTGGGGAACAGGGAGGTGGGATGGGCAGTGGCCTTCCCTGAATAGGGTGGGTGGGAGGGGAACAAGACCCTTTTGCACAACTCTCTTTAAGTTTCCTTTATTATTATTTTTTTAACTCATTCTAATTTTCTGCATTGTGTTTGGGAAATAAAATGAAAAAACTAAGACCAATAGAAACTGGTTTTCAAAAAGGCAAATACACTCCCATCTGTTTCAGATGCTGCCGAGCATTTCAGCAGTGACAGATTCAAATAATAAGCTAATTTTTGGAGAAAGGATTAAAAGAAAAAAAAACTTTGTAATATTTATCACTTGCAAGCTATGTTTAATAAAGAAAGGAATGGTTTCTAAACTTTCCTGTGGCTGTGCTTTAGTCATGGGGGACACGGGGGGACAGTTCGATGGGAGGGTTTTAGGGGCAATTGGGAAACGAGCAACAGCTTGTACACCCCACAGTCCAGCTGTGGGGTGCCTTTGGTTTGGGACCCTTTCCTTCCATTGTGATGATTTAAAGCCTTTAACTACTTCTGTGTTCCTGTTTCCTCTCCGCTTCTGACTGGAGCCAGGGTTCTGGGACCCACCAACTCCACTTTTGTTACCTGATGACCTCGGGTCAAAAAGTGGCAGGAGAAGGGGACTGGGTCTCCAGTCTCTCCCTCCTAGGGAGAGGCATCCCCCGACTGTCCTTGGCCCTTCTCAGCATACCACTCTTAACTCGTTTCTCCAGAGGAGGAACTTAGAACTGTAGGGGCTCACACTGCTCTTTATTTAAGCAAGCTGCAGGATATAGTTCCTTCATAATCCAAATGAAGGACAGCCCCGTAGCCTGGCAGTTAAGGGAACTGGATCCCATGTTCAGCCAAGGTTCGAATCTCAGCCCAGCACCTTAAGGGGTGGGGACCACTTTGTGTGTATATGCCCCAACTCCCAGCAGGATGGAGAAATGGGAAGAGAAGGGAATGCAACCTGGCCACTCCCTATATGGAGACTGCCTCCCACCCCCCAGCCCGTCTCTGTGCCAGCGCATGAGCCCTCTGGCAGAAGAAGACAATGACCCAAGTGCAGCACCTCCTGGGAGACCCAGAACTGCTCTGTCTCACCACCCCTTCCCAACCCCGGGAATAAACAAGATCCTTATTTATTTTTTCCATTTTTTTTTTTTTTATTTCCAACAAAATACTTAGAACAGGCCCAACCAGAAGAAGATGTCATTTCCTTAAAGACTTGAAGTCTGGGGCTATCCATGGCCCCTTGCCCCCTTGCCCCCTGTCTCGGTTGCAGCTGTCTCTGCGCCTGGTGCAGAGGGAGCTGTCCAGAGGGCAGAGCCCAGCCTTGCTGAAGTCTTATCATTGGCACTAGCGTCGCTCCCCTAGAGCACAGAGGAGCCGCCAAGCCCTGGGCCTTCGTACCCGACCCCACCACCACCTTTTGGTATAGTACTGGGCAGCCCTAGAGGGAGTAGCTGGGGCTTTGGCCTTCAGGGCGTGACAGCTGAACAAGGCGTGGTGATGGGGCCCTGGGCGCCGTGGACTGGCACAGGGAGGAGTGAGGAAGAGGCGTGCTTTGGACCCCTAGAAATGAGGCGGGTGGGTAGTTGGGGTATCCCATAGCCTCTGTTCTCCTTTTACAAGGGACCTGAAGTCACGAAGACCCTGACTCAAACTAATCTCTTTCCAAAACAAGTCAGATAGGAAGGAATGCCCCTTGAAGAGGGACCAATGCTTTGGATCTGGGAAGGGCGGGTGGGTATTTGGCTGCTCAGAGAAGCTCACCTGAGCTCAGATGTTCGGGACTCTGGGTGTTGGGAGAAGGGAGGTGAGGGACTTGGTGCCTTTGCCCCCCTGTCCACTCAGACCACAGGAATGCAATGACCTGTCCCTGGGTCCCTGTCAGCTCGGGTTTATAGAGACAAAAACAGTTCAGAGATCTGGCTGTCAGGTGGTGATGGCAGAGCCCCTTGCCCTGCCTCCCAGAGGTGGACCCTTAAAGCTCTCTGTCTTTGGGGTAGGTTCATATTCGGGTCAGGAGGTGGCTACACTGGAGGGGCAGTGCCCAGCTGAACTTGGTTCAGTTGGAGGCTATTTGGTGTGTCGGCGGAAAGGACACGGAGTCTCCCTTTTCTTGAGTGGGGGATGAGCAGGGAAACCACATGTTCTCCCCCCCCACCCCCTGGCCAGGCCTGCCCTCCCCGGAGAGGGCCTGAGGGACCTTTGGTTCATTCCTGACTCCGGGATGGCAGGGACAGGTGAGGTAGCTGCTTTGGTGCATCCAGAGTTGGTGGCATCTGGGAGGAAGCTGACCTGGAGGCCCTAGGGTAAGGGTAGCTGTCCCACGGTCACCTGAGGGTGGAGGAGGCGGTCAGGCTTCTGTCCCCAGGCCTCAAGCACACTAGGTCCCCCCACCAACTTCCTATCACTTGAATCCCCCTCACCTGGGTAATGAGCTCAATCTTCTACCCCGGCTTCCCTCCACTCAGCCTGGTCCCCGCGGCCCCTGCCTCTGTCCGCGGCGGTCTGAGGTACTGCCCAGCATTCCCGGGACCCCCGTCTGCAGAGGAGACTGCCAGGTAGAAAGGGACAGACGGCACCATGGCCTGTCTGGGCCTCCCTCTGCCTTAGAATGCAGAGAGTGGACCCGGCTTTGCCTTGGGAGTCCCATTCTCTACCTTGCCCGTGTCACCTGCCAGCCCTTCCCGCACACCTGTACTCCCGGGGGGAGGGCTAGTTCTCCCCCCTTCCTCAGTCTCCCACGAAACGTTTCCTAGCAACAGGCCAGCGCACCCCTGTTCCCTGTCCTGCACGCAGCGGCCCACTCTCCCAGCAGTCCTCCACTGCGCCCATACCTGCCCTTACCTGTGTCTCCAGCCCAGGAAGAGGCAGAGGAGGCAAATGACCAGGGCAGCCAGGCCCACGTGGATGCCCACCACAACCCCAGGCAGCGAGCTGCTCACACCATGGCTGCAAGAGCACCCAGCCTCAGACCCTGTGGACACAGAGCCATCCGTCAGAGACCAGGGATGGAGGCCAAGCCTGGCCTCACTTCCAGGACGCTGGCAGCCCAGGGATTTAGACACCGGCTCTGACCCAGCCCTGCTACTTCCACTGCACCCCACTCACCAGGGGTGGCCAGGGGCACGTCGCGCAGAGAGACCAAGCGGGCACTGCTGTTACCGTCCCCGTTGCCATTGAATGCCTGGAGCTTGATCTCATAGAGGGCCGCTGGCTCTGCAGGGAGCAGGGGGTGCTGAAGGGACAGGCCTCTCTGGGTCAGGAAGCTCAGCGTCTGGGATGTGATCACACTGAGAAGGGCCTTACCCAGGTCAGTGTAGAGGAAGGAGCTGACACTGCTGGCCAGGAGCAGGGGCCCCTCAAAATGGGCAGCCGGCAGCTTGCGGTGGAAGAGTTTGAAACCTTGGATGGGCCCCGGCTGGGGTGGCAGCTCCCAGGAGGCCTGCACGGAAGTGGCGTTGACCACCGTGGTAGAGAAGCTGAGGGCGGCAGGGGCTGTGGGGGAGAGCAGATGCCTGAGCCTGCTGGGCCCCAGCCCACCTGCAGCCGGGCTCTGCTGGGTGGAGAAACTCACTCACCCGTGCCCATGGTGGAGGCCAGGATGGGGGCAGAGTCCTGACTGGCACCCTCGGCGGAGTAGGCCCTCAGGTGGATGGTGTAGGCTGTGGCAGGCTCCAGGTCGGAGAAGACGTGCTCAGAGGTGCCTTTGCTCACAGCTTCTTGGAGCTCTGGGCCGGCCGGCTCTGCGGAGTGGGCAGTTAGCAGCTCGGCCTCCTCCGCTCACTAGCACCCTCCATCCCCCACCAGGGCCAGCACCTGAGGCCGGCCGGGCCTCCAGGGAGACCAGAGGCAGAAGGGCTGGAGCCAGTGGCTGGGCTGTCTACCCAACTCCCCCAGGCCCGCGGTG